ACAAGCTGTGCCCCGTTTGTTCCCGGGAGCGGGGTGGGAATCAATCAATTCTTATCTCCGAACCGACCCCACGCTTTTCTTTCTCGATTTCCGCCACCAATTCTCCGCCGATTGACGAGTTTGAGGGCTCATTTTGTTCCCGCTATCAAGTAGGCATCGATAGATAAGCTCTACACTTCAGAACGACTGATAGTCTTCAGATAAACCGCTCGAGAACAGCCACATTTGTTGCTGGGTGGCGAAGTAGAGACCATTCTATAGGGATGCACCCGACCTGGTCCCACCCGTAATCTTTGGTGTGTACCTTTGGAACATGTATTCTGATCCTCTCCCAGGTCCCCAAGCGCTATACTATCTTATCTGGCGGTCGCCATCCACCATTACACCAAATCATCAAATTTTTGTCGCACATAGAAATGGATTTTGTTCTGGGGATTATTGGTATGAGGGAGACATGAAATCTACCCAAGTAGGTCTGTATACTTCCTATTTAACATTTTGAATCTCCGCTTGGACCGAAACACCTCTCTGGACTTTGCAGTGTGCACCATTCGGTCAATATCCCAATATCCCCTCGCCTCCATCCAAAGAATGGCCAATAATATTGATCCCTGTACACCTTAAATTAATGCTCTAAGTGCTCCTAATGATGCATTGGAACCATATGAATGATTTTAAATGCATTGGGCTTTCTATCCTGAAGAACAAGGACCTATTTAGCTTGATGGCCCGCTAAGGTGTTTTTCCCCCCTTTGGGGTAGCACCGAAAATAAATTCGGCAAGCGCGCAGATAGCTACCTAAAATTGATCCAAAATATCTCATATCACTCTTGGTATGTAAAGGTTCATTCAAGAGCAAAAACCTCAGTACTTGTAGTACTCTATGAGTCGGCCAGAGGCCAAAAGTGCTAAGGTGGCCCGGTAACCAGTCACAGATAATAAAGGCTTCAGGATTCCGCCGACGGCTTTCAAGGCCTAAAATACCCACCTGCCCTTCAAATCAAAAATTTTGTTTTCTCATCCTCCGTGTTTGGGCTGCTGCTATCCACAAGCAATCCCTTACTAGAGAGCGCCAGAATAGCACAAATTTCAAAGCATTCTGTCTTGGATGTATAAACATTCACAGACCTGCTGGCTGCAGTTCTACTTCATGGACGTCGACGCCTTGACAGCACTGGCAGGTGTGTGGAATTCAACCTTCACTCATCCACAGGTATGAATTCTGAAAAGACTCACCCCTTGGCTTACCATCTCTCCCATTCGACTTTAGTAATTTGAAGCCAAATGACGCCGGTTTGACTCGAGTTATCAATGTAATATATTCAAATGACCTTTGATGTCCAGATCCAAGTACAACTTAAGACCCCATGGCGCTCATTCGATGGATGGTGACCGGATCCCATCCACTAATCAATAATTCCCGAGCAGAGTTTACAATCGGGCATCGATACCTCGGGGAGTAGTACGTTCCGCCCTCCCTTGTATGTCGATTAATTCGTCGTAGTGTGGCTTGTTAAGGATTCGTTTAAATTGATGTTAATTAATGACCGGTTCGAGTATACTACGCACATTGGCGAGTTCCTCCGCTGACTCCTTTGCTTTAGATTCCGTTCGACCTATTTCAACCTATCTGTGGCAACTGCATCGTGAGTCTTCACTCGATTCGGGCACATTCCCTCGATCCCAACTTGTTAGTTCTAGGAGTGCAGCGGCGGTGGCATGGGGAGTAGAAGGGGAGAGGGAGCAGAGGACGAAGCACTTGGGAAGGGAAGGGGAGCACACGGTGTTCGAGTCTGAGGTCACCGGCGCAATCCTCGCACTCGACATCATCAAAGGCATTCCAAGGCTAACCGATGTCGACATCTTCGCAGACTGTCAACCGGCCATAACCGCCATCTCCTCCCCCCGCCCACAGCCCGGCCAGTACCTCCTTTCCCTCTTCCACACCCTCCACCGACGCCTCCTCCGCGCCCGCCCTACCCTCAAAATCCGGGTCCACTGGGTGCCCGCGCACATCGGGATCGAAGGGAACGAAGCCGTCGACGCGCGTGCGAAGGAGGCGGCCCTTGGCGCCTCCTCCCCGCTCGCGTCCCCCATCAGACGCTTCGAGTCCCCTCTCCCCCTCAGCAAGGCAGCTGCCCTCGACGCAGGAGCGAAGCTTTTCAAAGCACGCTGGCTCAAGGAATGGCGCGAATCTCCACGCTACCGCCGACTCGCCCTCTTCGACCACCCCGAGCCCAGCAACGCCACTTCGCGCATGTACGAGGATTTGAGCCGTCCCCAGTGCAGCGTGCTGACGCAGCTGCGGACCTCTCACATCCCCCTCAACTCGTACCTCTACCGCTTCCACCTCGGACCCACCCCCGACTGCGAATTCTGTCTAGTCCCCGAGACAGTCTCTCACTTCCTCCTCGCCTGCCCCCGCTACCGCCGCCAGCGCCTTCGGCTAATGGTCGATCTCGGGACCGCCCGCCTCTCCCTTCGCCGCCTCTTGTCCGCCAAGTCCGAGCACAAACCAGTGCTCCGTTTCGTGCGCGACACCGGCCGCCTCCCCAAATATTCCCTCTAGGCCGAGGGCCCCAGTTACGTCTCCCACCCTTTACCCTACCTATTTCTGCCTTTACCTACTTTTCTTTTCTTCTCTCTCTCTCTCTCTCATCTCATCTCCTTCCACTCAAAACCAAATCATTTCGATACGAACGTCTCTACACCTCTTTAGCTACTAAAACCAATTCGCACCCCCACGCAGCACATACTTAGCACCACGACCCCTCAAGTCCCGCTCCCCCACCGCACGCCCTTACGGCCAGCTAGTGTACATACATGTACTTCCGATAGTGCCACATGGGCCCCAAGGGGCCCGCGCGCACTCTAATAGAATTTGAATGAATGAATGAGTTCTAGGAGTGCGCTGCCCCATTCACATCAACATTCGAGTCGGCGCCGACTCGCCCGAGGTACGCATTCCATTCCATTCTATTTCATGTACTTACTGACCTTCGTTTGTCTTGTTCTTCCCCGTTGGCGTTAATTCCCTGGGTTGGGTTGGGTTGGGTCCAAGTGATTCAGTGTTGGTGCTGGTTGTGAGTTCCATTCAAATCCTCGGCTTTATCTTACTTATCCACCCCAGATCTCCCTCCGCACCGCGCATGGAAGTGGATTGACGGCGCGCCATACTTGACCGAGGGCGGTATCTACGCGCAAGTAAGCAGTGAATAAATCTGCGACGTAACTTGTTACTATTGCAACATAGACGCAGACCTCACGCATCATTTTCGACAAGCCACCCATTCAATTTAATATCGTCATGCATGTCCGCGCTGATATCATCCGAGTCCGCGCGCACTCGGCGTTATAATAACGATGCCCAGGTGATTTCGATTGCATGCACACAATTGTATCGGTGTAATGATATTCGACTACAGTACAATAGACTGCGTGTGGCGAACGGGGGATTCTCGTCGGGCCGGCAAGGCAGCGCGACGAGAACGAGTGGACCGCGTGCGGGCTTGCCGAGAACGGCGGGCAAGGAGTAGGGGAGTCGACTCGTGGTACCCCGCCGGGGGAGTTGTCGTGCGGGGATGCAGATGGAAAGGATGGGCGCGGGGAGGAATGTATAGGGGAACGGGAGGGCAGGGCAGGGCAGGAAAGTGGTGAGGAGGGCGTTATAAGTAGTAGGGATGGAAAGGCGGGGGGAGGATGCAGCAGGCGGGCGCGGACCGGCGCGACAGCGGGGTCGGAGGTCGGCGAGGACAGACGGGCGCGACAAGGGCGGGAACGTGGTCAGTACGTGCGAGCTCTCTTGCTGCCTAGGGTACACACCTGGACCTATTTTTGTGCACCCTGTCGCTGACCGTACCGCGTGCGTGACTTTTGCAGGACGGCGGTGCGTGCGGCGTGCGAAGAGGTATGAGCAGCGAGAGGCAGGGACAGCTACTGACTGTACGTCGTTATTGGGCGTGATCAGAGTCGAGGTACTGCGGGGCAGGGACGAACGCGTTGAGAGCGACAAGGGCAGCGGGGACGGGGGACTCGAGCGTAGCGGACTGGGGGAAATCGGGTACGGGAGTCAAGTGGGTACTGGCGCGGTTCGATGACGGGGAAGAGAAGGACTCGAAGGAAGAGAAAGGAAAGGGTGGCTAAGGTAGGTAGGTAGGTAGGTAGGTAGAATTACACGGCCGGTCCCGCTCAGGAACGCCGGGGCCCAGGAAATATCTGAGTGTACAGGCACTATTGTACACTACGGTCCCTGGGCTCCTCCATCACCCCGTAGCCAAGAATGAGTCGGTGGATGCGCGTGAGAGGGAGAGGATGAGTTCGGCCGATGGCCGTCGCCGTCGGGATGACGATGATTTACGTTTTTACGTCACTCTTCTTCGACCGCCTCTGCCGCCACCGGCAGGCCTCAGCGCTCAGCACCTGCGCCCTCGGCTGCATTGAGGCCGCCGCCTGCCGCCGCCGCCTGCAAGCCTCTCTTTAAATTTTCTCGCAGCAACAACTTTCTCGCAGCACCTCAGGCTGCGTGTGCGCCGACGCCAACTTCAAGTTCCAGGCCCAGGCCGGCAGCTGTCTCGAGGCCGAGTGCAAGCCCGCTGGGGCTGAGGCCGCCCTCGCTGCTCACTCTGCCAACTGTGATCCCCATGCCTGTCTCTTGCCCGCCCTGTTTTTCTGTGCCTTAGCCTCCAGGGAACAAGACCCCGTCGCATGTGGTATGCGTTAGTCGAACAATGCTTGCCTTACAGTGGTCGAACAATGCGATTCAGCGGAAGAACCGGTTCGATTCTGGGCGGGCTCTTGAGTTTCGAACTGGATCCATTTGTTGGGGGGATACGGAGGTAGGTCTCGATGTTCTCCAAGTTGTATCTACCCTGCGCGGCGTACGTGACCTGAAACCAGTTACTTTCTTCCGCGCCGTTGGCGCGAGTCTCATATTCAATCCACATGGTGTGGGTTATTTCTATTTCATAGCAGACCTCACCTCCGATGATCCCAGAGAACAAGACTTCGTAGCGTATGGTATGCGTCCGCTGCCTTTAGTGGTGACCAAATGAGTTCAGCGGAAGAGCCCGGTTCGAATCCGGGCGGGGTCTTGATGGTAGAATCCATAGATTTTTCTCTCGTAGAGTTAGGTCTCGCAATTTTCGGTGTTATATCATGCACAGGCGACAACATTGCTTTTTTTTTCTTTCGCCATGGCGTTGGAACTTAGCGGTGAGTCAAACTTCAAGACACATGCGTTGAGTAGCATTGGCAGGATTTATTACACTTTACTACTCATTCCTGGGCGCAGCGCTCAATGTCAGGCTACGTCAGGGGGAGACCTGCTATCATCTATGTATGTGCGCCAGAGCTGGAACACGTAGCAATCACTCAGCCGTCGGCGGCGCGCCGCGCAGTACTTGCAAAATTGCTTTAATCGCAAGGACTTTGCGACGTGTTATTTCGTGCTTTCTTTCCAGGCTTCGTCATTCGTCCGACTCGTCTGTCAAGCTCGGGATGTAAGAATCAAGACCTGTGACATCTGGAATGCCTCCGCTACCCCTGAGTGGGCTGAGAAACCCTTACGGGGAGGAGCCGGTCGAATCCGGGGAGGGGTCTTTCGGATTGTTCGTGAGTCTTTCCTTTTTGCTGCATGCAGAGCTACATTGCAACTCGCACAGACTTCTCAAGTTAGAGTTGTCTTCCCGCATCTTTAGCGAATATCTACTCTCGACTTTCAATCCAGGTTCGCATTGCAGCGCACCTCACTGGCAATCGACTGATTGATTTTATCTTCAAGTCCGATTATCCTCAGAGAATAGGACTCCGTAGCATGAACCCAAAATACCTCTCTCCCTGGCGTTGAGTCCCAAATTTCAATCGTAGGACTGACGGAATTTATTCTATTTCCTAGCAGACCTCAAGTCCAATTATTCTCAAGCACTCTGTAGCATACGGAATGTCTCCGCTACCCTTGAACCCGTATTGTTCAAGCCAAATGATTCAGCGGAAGAGCCTGGTTCGAATCCGGGCGGGGTTTTGCGATTTTCATCAAGGGGTACCCACCGGAGAATGCCGAGACATCGGCTAGGTGGGTGCCTCCCCCGGCCGACCCTTTATTTCAGTTTTTGGAAAAGGTGTGGAACCTTTCAAAAACGTGTTTGCGAAGGAAAAAAAGAAATTGAATTTTTTGGGTGGTGGGAACTTGATGGGAACCTGGTGAGGGACGCACTTTCGAGCCTCGAGATACTCACGGTCAGCTCACATTAGTGTCAAAAGAATTCTGGCTCGACGTACACCTACCTCGAATGGGCGCCGAACCTCACCAAATTGTCTGCCGAAATCCATCTTGGATCACTTTCTCAGGCAAAATTACCATATTTGGGAATGCACGTGACCATTATGACAGTCTGTCTGTCCTCCTCGAGCCGTTAATTCACTTTTTAGACTCCGTGTAGGAGATTTCTTCTGCGGGTACCCCTTGATTTTCATGGTTGTTCTTTTTGCTACCGAGCTACACTGCGTTCCGGGGCCTCCTAAACTCAGCCTGAGCGTAGGGGCCTACACCGAGCTACCCTTGGTGCCACCTACACACAACCTGCATAGATGAATGTAGGTCTGTCTAGGCCTGCCTAGGTCTGTGTAGATCTGCATGACTGGGTATAGCATAGCTGAGGTAAGTGCAGGTCAGTGCAGATCATTGTAGGCGCTTACATCGATGCCAGCGTAGCCACACCCAACTTGGTTAATGAACCAGTTTTAAAACCAAAATTGAAAACGGGTACAAACTAGACTGACATAAAGTGAGTGTAGGCATTCGAACTGACCTACGATTACCCAGGCTAGGCCACCTGAGCAGACCCATACGGAGCTACATCCGGCTCAACCCAATTCTGTCCAGCTATTGCAGCGCACCTCACTGGCAATCGACTGATTAATTGTATCTTCAAGTCCGATTATCCTCAGAGAATAGGACTCCGTAGCATGAACCCAAAATATTTCTCTCCCTGGCATTGAGTCCCAAATTTCAATCGTAGCACTGACGGAATTGAATTTATTCTATGCCATAGCAGACCTGGTCTATTAGTTACCGCGCCTTGATTGCCGTTAGGTCGCCTTATTATATAAGCATCCGTTTTGGGACATCACGTGGAACGCTGGGTGCAGAAGTTGACGCGACGTAGAACTTTCTAGGCCACAAAAAAAATAGAGTAGGTGCGAACAAGTTGATATAAGTTTGCTGATATGGCTTTGGAGGTTTTCCCGGGCATAAGAGCTTGACCAATACAAAAGGCCCATAATGTGCCCAATTTGGGAAGATGGTGAAAATGGAGACGGAGGGGGCAAAAAAAATGCGGGGACCCTGAAGGAGGTTATTATACTACACTGAGGCAATGCACTCATCTTTCAGACTGTTCTGGCGCGTCAAAGACACGTCTCAGTGGGATTTGTTTGTGCAAGCATCATCATCAATTTTGATAAGCCGACCTAACGGTAGTCAGACCGCGGTAACTAACAGACTATAGAACGAGGTTACGAGTGTCATTGTCTGTCAAGAGAGACTATAGCAGACCCTCAAGTTCGACTATCATCAAGGACTCCGTAGCATATGGTATGCGTCCGCTACCCTTGATCAAGGTGCTGCAGCCAAATGATTCAGCGGAAGAGCCCGGTTCGAATCCGGGCGGGGTCTTGAGAGAGGATCCGTCCAACTTTTTCTCTCGCAGGGTCATATCTCAAGGTTCTCGGTGTTATATCACGCTCAGGCTGCAAGATTTTTTTTTTTCCTCCTACGGTGTTGACACTGAGTCTCAAATTTCAACCCACACGGTGCATTCTTATCACCAACTGGATTTATTTCATCTCTCTCAAATGAAGTGCCTAAAGAACGAGCCTAAAAAGTATATTTTAGGACTCATAATCTTCAATGCTGTGAAAAGTTTCCTTGAGACAATGCTGCTCTTTTGGCTTGAGGTTTTGAGCCTACTGAGGATGGTGAAGAACGCTCCTAGAGCATTATCAGATTTCCTTGCATGGACAAAGGTTTGGGACACCGATTCTGTTGAATTTGCAACTAGACTAAAAGAACATTAGGACCAGTTAATTCTGCCATTCACTCAAGATGCACAGAGATTTATAGCATTTTTTGGTCCTGTTATTAGTCAGAGCGCTCCTCATATTTACATCTCTGCTTTGGCATTGGCACCTCAAGAGTCATATGTTTACAAGATGTTTCAACCACAATTTCCCAATTTGTTATTGATTAGAAAAGGACAGATGGAGAAATGGCCAGCTACAAGAGGTGTTCTAGAGGGCTACACCAGGTTGGTCCAATCTGTTGCATTCTCGCCAGATGGCAAAAAAATTGTCTCTGGCTCTGAGGATCACACTGTGCGCATATGGGATGTAGCAACTGGGGAGGCAGTTGGTGCACCGCTGGAACACACCAACAAGATCAATTCAGTTGCATTCTCACCAGATGGCAAGCACATAGTGTCTGGCTCTGATGATTACACTGTGCGCATATGGGATGTAGCAACAGGGGAGGCAGTTGGTGCACCACTGGAAGGCCACACCAACTGGGTCAATTCAGTTGCATTCTCACCAGATGGCAAGCACACAGTGTCTGGCTCTGATGATTACACTGTGCGCATATGGAATGTAGCAACAGGGGAGGTAGTTGGTGAACCGCTGGAAGACCACGCCGACGGGGTCTATTCAGTTGCATTCTCGCCAGATGGCAAGCACATAGTGTCTGGCTCTTATGATCACACTTTGCGCATATGGGATGCAGCAACAGGGGAGGCAGTTGGTGCACCGCTTGAAGGCCACACCCACTCGGTCCATTCAGTTACATTCTCCCCAGATGGCAAGCACATAGTGTCTGGCTCTAGGGATCACACTGTACGGTACGCATACGGGATGTAGCAACAGGGGAGGCAGTTGGTGCACCACTGGAAGGCCACACCAGCTGGGTCAATTCAGTTGCATTTGCCCCAGATGGCAAGCACATAGTGTCTGGCTCTTATGACCACGCTGTTCGCATATGGGATGTAGCAACAGGGGAGGCAGTTGGTGTACCGCTGGAAGGCCACACCCCCGGGGTCAGTTCAGTTGCATTCTCACCAGATCAGAAACACATAGTGTCTGACTCTCCTAATTCTGTGCTGCACATCCTGGATACTGGCACTGCAAAGTCTCCCCGCAATTTAGCTCATCCTGCCAGCCTTGACATCAAACATTCCAATGATCACCATTTCATCCAGGTAAGCTCATCTGAATATCATCTTATGCTCTTTCCTATGCTTACAGTCCTATCTTAGAGCGTCCCGGCCAATGCACATTTCAAGATCCGTGAAGGGTGGTTCTCTACTCCATCAATGTTGCTCTCCTGACTTCCAAGTGGATATAGAACAGGATTCTGGTACCCAAATCACACAATGGTGATTCATAGGCAATCAACAAGGCCCTCTTATGCTAACTTTGTCCATGGTACTGAGTGGACCCAATGCTACTCTCATTGAATGTCATATAGCCTTGCCTGACTGACACCTACACAGACCAAATGTACACACTTTTGTCTTATTTACTCCGATTGAGTGAGGTTGTAGACTTGGTGCCGGGTGACCCTGCATAAGGGGGGGGCAGGCGGAGTGTTTGGTACCACGTGGTTGGTGAAATATTCGGTCCAGTTGAAAGGTCAACCGTGGGAAGTTGTTAAATAAAATAAATTTTGGCAGTGCTACAATTGGAATTTGACACTCACGGCAGGAGAGAAATATTTTGTATTTATGCTACAGAGTCCTATTCTCTGAGGATAATTGGACTTGAAGAATCAACCAGTCGATTGCCAGTGAGGTGCACTGCACTAAAGGTGCGGAAAGACAACAGCTCTAATTTGAAAAGTCCGTGTGAGTTGGAACGTAGCTCTGTATACAGGAAAAAAGAAAAGAAAGAAAGGGCCACCCAGATTTTGAAAGACCCTGCCCGGATTCGAACCAGCTCCTCCGCGTGCACCGTTTCACTCAGTACCAAGGGTAGCGGAGGCATTCCAAATGCCACAGGGTCTTGGTTCCTACATCTTGACCCTGATGAATAACGAATGACGAGC